AAAAATATAATAGACTTGTATACTTTGGAGTTTAAGTTTGTTACCATTTAAAGGACCTCAGAGGTGGAATTAAGGATGGAACTTTCCTGTATTGTCTTGCAGGGAAGTGGGAGGTCGATGAAATGAAGGACTCTAAGCTTCCAGGTGACAAAGGACTTGTGCTGATGTCTCGGGCCAAGCATCATGCCATTTCTGCTCAACTGAACAGGCCCTTCCTGTTTGACACCAGGCCTCTCATTGTTCAGTAAGTGAAACACTTGTTTGACAAAAGGATAGTCCCAGAAGACATTATGTTATAAAACTTTTACTTTATGCAAAAAAAAAAAAAAAAAAAAATTATGAGGTTGTATACGTTGCAATAGGGATTATTTTTGATGAATTTACCCATTCTGTAATAATATTTTCTCCTGCCCAATAAATTATTTTGAAAAAAACTGGTTCCTCATGCTTTTTTTAGGAAATGAACTTGTCGATTTTGCAGAACGTTTTACTGGAAATCTGCGTTAAGTTTCAATTTTATTTGTTTTTGTGGTTTGGGTTGCTATTCAAAAGCAATAAAAGATGAAATCTTTCTTAAGGGTAAACATATAACATGATAAAATATATGATCAAGATGAGGGAAAGAGGAGAGATTTTTGATCTTTCCAAATGCTGTACGGTTTTCTGTTTTCTCTCTGATATTAGGTATGAGGTTAATTTCCAAAATGGAATCGAATGTGGTGGTGCTTATGTGAAACTGCTTTCTAAAACACCAGAACTCAACCTGGTAGGTAATTCCTATTTCCAGAATGTGATTGGCCACCCACAATTATCTCATGAGGATCTTAGAAGAAAGGAAAGAAAATTTTGTAAGGCCTGTAAAGATAAAGACTTCCTTCCCTGCTGTTTTAAATCTTTTTATTTTTTATTTTATTTTATATTTTTTTGAGTTGAGGTCTCACTCTGTCACCCAGACGGGAGTGCAGTGGCATGTTCCTGGCCACCGCAGCCTTGACCTGCTGGGCTCCAGCAATCCTTCTGCCTCAGCCTTCCAAGTAGCTGGA